TACTTCAAATTCTTCCGAGCAAATATATCGAATCCTGATTAAGTAAAAAAAAAAAGGAATGTTCGGTAAACTTGTATTTAATAAAATAGTATAACTTCAGTTGCATACATCTCTGAGAGAAAAATAAATTAAATAAATATAACATGAACAATTTTAAAATCGGCTAGATAGGAGTCAGCGCGGTAAGTGGTGCGCAATGTTAATATAAATAAAAAATTATTTATTTATACTAAGTGATGTAATAAAATCCAACGACGTTTATTTCCATGAAGTGTAAGTACATCGTTATTAGAAATTCCAGACGTTTCGGTTATATATTTTAGCCATCTTCAGTAGATCTTAACAAGAGTTATTTCTTCCTTGTGTCCCACCAGAAGCACAATTTTCGGCCAAAAAGTTTCCTAACTTATTGGTAACGAAATTGTATCTAAACATAATGTTGTTGTTATATAATAAAAGTACTACAAGTAAAAAATTGGCCAAAATTATTAAGGATTATATTTGTTTTAAATTAATTAATACCAAACGACCTAGATTATATTAATTCATACTTTCAGACTGTATACAACAATGCGTATACGGAAAAAATTTTCTTGTGAATTTTTCGTGCGTGAAATTAAATTTTTCTCTCGCATATCTCTTATTTTAAAATCTGTAAATATTATACTCGATCGGAATGCGAAAACGTGCCTGTATTCGCCCTTTAATAAGAGCCCTTCATCAAATCCAGCACGGTGCGGCGATGCGTATTCCAAGATCGTACTTCATCATACAGAATCGGGCACCATGTATCCTGTGAAAAAACAACAGGGGGCCTCTCCGGTGTAAGCGTGCAAAACGGAAGCGTGGACGTCGAAAAACAAAAAATATATAAATAAAAATATTTCGTCCAGAGCACCGAGGGACTTCAGACGGACGGTGTCGGTATTCGGCGTACACTATAATGCAACGTTTTCGATTCGCATATCCGGCACGCATCCGAGCCTATTGAAAACAGCCGGAAACGATAAAACAATATACCTGGTCGCGCTCTCGCGAGCCTCGCATCGAAAACACTTGGAAAATGTATTGAAAACACTCGAAAATGATTGAAATCAAACAAGTTACGAGGTTGACGAGCGAGAGAGCGAAAGATTGGATGGATGGGAGAAAGAGGACTCTATCGGGCATCCCAAATACACGTGGGGGTCGATAGTTCAGATCGAACCGACGATTTCGGACGCTGCTCGCTGGCAGGAGATACTATCAACGAGAGCAGTGGCACAGAAGGGTAACTCGACCGCGAATAAATTGGTCGTTTCGAGGTCGGTATATCCACGTCGAGTACTCTATATTTTCGCTCCGGGCTGGCCAATCAAGCATCCGGCGGATTATACAGACGCTGATTTTCGTCAGCTCATTCGACGACGTAACGTAACGCGAACGAAAACCAGTTACGAATGTTCGACGATGTAACTGTATTTCTGAGGGCACCTGACCACCGCAGTTCTAAATCCATTTCTCGGGCCATCGGTCGCGCGTTGCCGATCAATACTCATTTAAAAATTGATTCTATTTCAGAATTATGACATTTTTGACAAAATTATTTGAAAATTGAGTATTTGCGCCGATTGAGACTAAAATTATTGTGCTGAAATGACGATTTATAATGAAAAATACACTGCCACGTCGCTGAAAATATTTTCTATTTTCTATATTGATTCCTAAAATTTTAAGTATCGTCTGCGCATCGCATGTTATAATTATTCATTGTAGAGATACATGAAAAGAGCTTTGAGATGGCCAGAATATTTTATCAAACGTGCACATCAGCAGAATTATAGCACAGATATCGGCGAACAGAATGAGAAGATGAAACCGATGAGAGAAATTGCACTACATATAAAAAAAATATAATATGAAAAATGTAGAACTTTTTAATCTCTTCTGCTGAATGTGCACTTGTATTCACGTATACATAGAACACAGGAAATTCCTAGATTTCGTTAATCATTACCGCGAATGATTATACAATGAATAATTATCTCTTTTAATATTTGCGCGAGCACAATAATTATTATCATTTAACATGGCAAACTTAACGCTTCTATTGTTAGTATATGTATTTGCGTAAAAACCATTAACGTAAACCATTACAAACTCGTCGACTAGCTCGTCGCAAAAAGGACTTCATGTACCTGATGTAGAATAATAAATGTGCTGCAATTAAAACATAAATAATAATAGTTTACATAAATAATCGTCGGTATCGATGTGGCCGTTAATGAAACGCTGTTAATTATTAGATTTATTCGTTAATAATTGCCAGGCGGAGTGATGAGCCAAGCCGATAATTAACGGGACAACGTAGTAGAGTGGATGAATTAACGCGCGATGAATCCGCAATTAGGAAAAAACCGCCGTCGATTCCACATTCAGTAACATATACAGACTTATGGAAGCGTAAAATGTGGACAAAATTGTCGCTTGTGTTTGGAAAACTATGTTTACGCGTTACGTGGACAATGATTATGCCGCTAAAGAGTATTTCGATAGGAAATTAGGTAAGCTGCCATCATTATAATTTGCTTGTTGATTACAGGCAAAAAGCGCTAATCGACATTTTTAGCTTAACTTATTTATAATATATAAATTTCTGTATATAAAACTTGTAATGAGATAATAATGTGTAAAATATCAGCATCATTTTACATGCAGAGATTGCCTCTCCAAGAAAATAAGAGAAAAAAAGATTTCTCGCGTGAAAATAATTGCGACTATAATAATGAGAGATGTATCCTTAAAGTATAATTGTTCGTTTCTGACGTATGATACAAATAGTATAATCTCATTCATTACGGTACAGAATGGTTTTCAATTATTCGCATGTCGCGAAATTGTTCAGGTGATTAATATAGACTGTGACAAAGTTCGTGTCAGTTGTAATCAGACAAGTAACGCGGAGTCTACAATAGAAGTCGTAGCAGTTAGTCGTTGAGTCTTAAATCATAGAACATTACAATCATAATTAATGTAAGAAGAAAAATAATAAATTATGGTTGGTCAACTTTTCTACTTTTTTTTTAGACCCTACGACCACTGCGACTTCTATCGTAGACCCTACATTATACACATTATTGACTATTTACTCGGCAATATTCATCTCTTTCTATCGATTCCTTGCAATATTCATCATTTAAACAGAAATAAAACTGTTTCATTTCTTTATATATGAACTGGCAATTCTCAATTAAGACATCATAGACTCACTGAATATAAAAAACGTGAATACAAAAGTAACATATATTAACACTTCTCGTCTGCCGTCAAGTCATTAAGAGAGCTTTTATAAGGCCAGGTAACCGGCACGATTATTGCCTCGCCTAGAGCGTCCCAATCAACGGAGCGTATTCTTGTATAGATGCGCGCGTGTCAAGGGATGGATGGGCATAAACGGATGCTGAGGGAGAAGAGCGAACGTAGAGAAATAGAAGATAATTCTCGTTGTTCCGCACTGGACGCCCGCGAGGCGCCTACCACTTCAAAGCAGCACCGCGCGCACCCCTTCGCCTCTCTTACTCCCCCTCCTCTCTCTCTCTCTCTCTCTCTCTCTCTCTCTCTCTCTCTCTCTCTCACACACACACACACACACACACACACACACACATACACACACTCACTCACTCACTCTCTCTCTATCGAATTGTAGTTCTCATCGAACCCGGTGTCTGGCAGTTAATGAACTGCCCTTCGGCAGTAGCAACGCACTCACCGTCTAGGAACCCAGCCAACCGCTGTAGAACCATTATCCATTTACATAAAGGACCATTACAGAACCGGAAATGATTATATAGAATTTAAACCGCGCACTCCATTTCCAGTCTCTTCCTTTCTTCAAGGAGTACCTCCCCCCTGCCTCGGGTCATCGCGGATTGATAATTATATTGAATGCAGCGCGATTTTCATGACCCTGCACTCAATTGCAACTAAGAGCTGATAGAAATTACACGATTACGAAACGATTTACGTGCGTAACACTCTTTGTGCTCCGAATTATGTCCCTCCCCCTATTCAATGCGTATGATTTTACTAAGGGAATTAAAGATTACGAAACGATTCGTCAATTAATGCTGCTCGGAATTTAAAAAAAGTTTAAAATAGTATTTGATATACATATATACGTTTTTATTACAAACTCATACAGCTATAGGTTTATTGCGAAATTTTTATTTCATTCCACATTTATTTGATTAAAAAATCTATTTGTACACGTTATACTAGAATCACCGAGTGAAATATATAGATTTTAACATTTTATCGTTTATCAATACATGATTTACAGTTATAGGTAAAGTTCCTATAAAATCTCATATAAAAGCTCATAAGTGTACCTATCGATGGATATCTCAGCCGCTATCGATGACAGCGGATACAAATAACGCTTTACATACACATGTACCCATCTCGCACGGACAGAGTGTATATACGCGCGCGCAGAAAAGCGGTATATCAATGTCATAAATTATGAATATGAGAGCAACATATCGTAACTGTCAACGTTATGGATTGCACGAATTTATTACATCAATTAAAAATCAGCATGATAGACGCTAACTCTTGCCAACGTAATATAAATCTCAATCGATAACTCAATATATAACGCCACGCGTTATATTAAACAGGGCAGGAAAAAGATAAAATCGATGGAAAGCAAGAGTAAAACCAAAATTGCTACCACCACCACGTGAGGGTGGTTTCGTCTCGAGTGGCGACATCTCTCTCGGTCCGTTCATCGTCAGATACAGCTGACGTTGGGCAACAGTGACAACACGACAAGCAAGGCGAGCAGTACTTTGCTTGTCGTGTTGTCGCTGTTACCAAACATCTACTACCGTTATCACAAATGGCACAAATCTCCACGATAGTGGACGCTCACTCGCGTGCTATCGTCATCTTTCTGGGACAGCGACGAACCCTGTCGCGCACCTTCCGCCCTTGCACAGAGTGCCTCATTCACTCACCTGAACCATTGATGTGTGATGGCACGCGAGACAGACCTCCTCCCCTCTTGGTGGCGACAGCCTGATGGCGTAAGCGGCCAAGCCGGGTCGAGGCTCACCGTACATCCGCCGTCGCCGTCGATGGTACCATCGACTTAGTACGTTCGTACGATGGACGATGATGCGCACACGTCGCGCGCTGCCGCGAGCTGACCGCTCGCACAACCCCGATCGCGCACACACGTACCCCCGCACGGCCACGCCCGCGTGTCTTTCCCGCCGTACGCGACACGTCACAGAAAGTCCAAGAGAAAAAAAAGACTCGTGCGTTTATTTACGGATTCTAGGCCTCGCGAGTTATCGGTCGACAACAGCTCTCTCTTTCTCTCCCTTTCTTTCGCTCGGGGGTGCGTGCGACTCGCGGCATGTCGGCGGGTTAATTCCGCGCATGCGACAAGCGCGCGCGCAACCAGTGGATCGATCAACCCTCATGGTAACGTCGCGCAGCTCTCTTGTGCTGCTATACCTATACAGATTCACCAGGTCGAATAGAACAGGAAAGCTATCGAGACCTTCTCCAAGCAAGAGTCCGGATATTTTTGATATTTTATTTTGTCAATAATCAATTCAATTTTCGACCAAAACAGTGCACATCGTTGCATTCAGAAATATAGAAGTTAAATTTGAGATTTTTAAAAGAAAAAAATGAAAAGTCTGCAGACAAAGAGAAATTCTATTCATATATATACATATATGTATATTTACAGTAATTAAAACGTTTGAATATTATATTTTTCTATTAAAACTACAGTTCCTTTTACAATATTGAATAAAATAATTGTCATATTTTAATACATATATAATATATATAGAATGATTGCAAAAAGTATTCGTACAAGAAATTTTTTTATAATAAATCTTATTTATAAAAAATAAGCATAAATTAATATAACAAATACATTTTATTCTAACATAAACAAACAAGCTTCGAGTGTGTCTTTAATTTTAGAAGTTAATTTTTTGACTGTACGAATATTTTTTAAGCATCCAAACAAATGCAGTTTTTAACTTTTGCTGTTTTTTTAAATGATATATTTTCTATAATTAATGCGCATCTTTTTAGTATACTATATTATTTTGAGAAATATACAGTCTATTTTATTTTTTATAAATAAATTGTTAATTACCCAGCAAGAAATGACCATCGATTAGACGTCAAAATGGTATCCAAATTATCGTATCGATATCGATTCAATTTGATGAGTCGTTTCTCACTGAATAATGTGTGTTTTTTAAAAATAAGGTCTTTAAAAAATATATTTTTCTTGTACAAATACTTTTTGCACTCACTGTATATATAAAAATCGTCTTTATTTAAAAATATTTTAATAATATGAAATAAATAATCAATTATCTTCTCAGAGAATATACAATATATATTTCTTATAGTGTACACGATCAACTTTATATAATTTTTAGAATTTCAAAAGTGGATACAGCATAAAAAACACAATGAAAGAAATATTGTATATATAACATCCTATCAAATCTCAGGCGCATATTTTTCTGTTGCAATTAATGCAATTATATATATATATATATATATATATATATTTACCAATTTTTTATAAAAAGTATTTAAAAATCAAAGTCAACCAGTACAATGTAAAATGAGAGAGATATTTAGATAAAGTATTTTAGCATTGGTAAATTGAGAAACAAGTAACATGTTTGCTTCTATGCAAAACCTGCGAAAATAATTTCGGCCGCCGGCGATGAATTGTTCAGGAACAGCGCTTGATTATAGAAGCGTAATAATGGATTTAGCCAAGGCCATAACGGTGGAATCATCTTCTCGAATAACAGTAGCGCGTTTACATATTCAAGAGAACAGTCTCAACGTGGAGAAGTTAAACTTTACAATCAGTGATTTTCCGGATCTTTAAGTTTAACTCGACTAGGATGCCGTGGATCATGGCCGATAAAAATGCTCTTTCGGCGGTTCCAACTCACTGTTCTTAACAAGCGTTTTCCGTACGATCGTCAACTAGATAGAAAGAACTTTTTGAATAATTTTAGAATTGTGAAGACAAGTTTGCAATAATGATTACATATACTATACATTCGTTTGCATAAAAATAACGCATACATTATAAAAAAATACAGAAGATACTGTGACGTGACACTTTTTGTCAGTCACTTTTGACGGAATTTACGCGGAGATCCTGGGTCCTCTAGAGTCGAAGGGCAAGGGCACAAGCGAGCGTACGAAACTTATTATATTTCTTGTATAAGATACGTTAGTTACTTTTCAGACACTTTTACAGCCATTTTGAATCATATTTGGATGCGAACGGTGGTTGCGTTAGGTTTGTGTATTTTTCCCACCTCACTCACTGGCGGAAGAAAGAAGACTTCGTACCGAAGAAGCGGACAGCAACCTGAGAGGATCGAAATTGCGTCATCGAGGAGCGCGGTACACGCAGGTCGTATTGCTCTATAATCGTTGTTAATTTTGCTATCGTTTGGTGGTTATCGCATCTTTATTACAGACACCTCGGAGGATTGGCTCTGGACATTAGTCAAAGCACCAAGTTCTGTGGAGATCGCCGAAACATCGTCGGTCGACAAGAAAGCCTTTTCCGTCTATTTGGAAATGCGCGCCAAATAGCCTAAAGGATACGCAGAATAAAAGGAACAGGGAACAGAGAACAGAGAATAAGAATTTCAACCCATGAGAAATCATATACTGTGGAATAAACAGTGTGTATTCCATAGTACATGATTTCTGATAGGTTGAAATTCTTATTCTCTGTTCTCTGTTCCCTGTTCCTTTTATTCTGCGCAGCCTTAAGGATACGCGACCCGCAGGACCCCCTGTGATTTGTCGCGAAGTCGCGTGGTCGCGATAAGCCAATTAGAGCCGGAAGCGGCCCGATAAGAGAAGGGCCTGCGTGGATCCGCGGAAGCTCCTGATCACTTGTGCGGTGAAGTCAGCTGCTGTAAAGGGGACTTAGGATCTCAGAGCGAATAAGCCGATATATTGTTGCCGAAGATACCGAGCGAGAGCTGCGAGGAATTCTGCCGTGGTGAGGCGAGCGTCATTGCTAATTGTAAGTATTATAAAACCACCGATCGCGGGGCGTGATGCATGTGTCTCGAGTGGATCGCACGCAGGACTTTCGCGTTAGAGTTGTCGATGCTGGATCGACTGCCTACGGGCGTTTAGAGCAATCGTTGCTGATTGCGTGCCATCCGCTCGGACGTCGATGTCTGTCGATGTCTGAGAAGTTAAAGTCATTATCGTTGCTCGCCCTTATTGCCGCCAAGTCATAGATGTTCGTTGTTTGTTTAACGAGAATCCATTGTAGACGAGGCTAGAATTATTGCGCGTTACGGAATCGTTGCCGCCTTAATAGGCAGAATCCGAATCTTGTATTACGATTGTTCTACGAAACTACTTATTTTCACTAGATTCCAGATTTGTCCGCGTATTCTTGTCCGCCGAATTTATTATCGAGGTAACTTTTGCCGCCGGCCATGGATTAACAAGCCGGTTATTGTTCTAACACCGCGAACTTACGCGTGGAAGGTCAACGTAGTAACGCTGTTGTCATCATTAGGCCTGTTCTTTTTGTCTGCACTGTCTGAACTAGTGCACACAGTGCAATAAGTTGAAATGAAACAAACATATCTGTTGCACTTCAACTTATTGCACTCTATGCACCAGTTCAGTAAAAAGAACAGGCCTATTGTAACGGTTTTTTGAATAATATATTGGTTTCTCACCACTGTTATTGTTAACTATTGTGTCTTTATTTCAGCCCCTCTCTCTCTATCTCGTTCTCCGACATTTTTCCCGCTTACCGCGAACCACTCCCCTCTGCCAATTCCGTGGCTGATTGTGAGCTATCCGTTTTTCGTCCGTCGCGAGATTCTGCTTAATCTACAATTTCCAGGTCTGAGCAAATTATCTTAGTAAGTGTGCGAAGAGTGCGGCACGCTCTCTCGTGCCTGGTGCCCAACAGAATTAATACGGCAAGGGAGATCTTTGCCAAATAATGTAAATTACCGGCTACCGCAAAATATGAATTGACAACCAATCGCACTTTTGCTCATTAAATTATTTTTGTCCTATTTGAGAGCTATCGCATAACGAGATTGTGGAAGAACGCGACGAAGTTGTGCCGTCGCTCGTGAGCACGGTCACAAATTTGGCGCCCAACGCGTGTGTGTGTGGGGCTCGAGTTAGAAGATTTAATAATTAATTGCGGATTCGGAGAGCGAGAGAGAGATTTAAGAGATTATATTTTGTGATATTGTATATTATTTTTTTTTGTTTCTCTGTATTTTCTTGTATTTTTTGCTTATTTCTTGTGCCTTTTTTATATTTCTTGTGTATATTTTTCTTGTATTTCTTGTATGTTAATTTCTTTCTTGCAGTAGTGTATGTTGCTCATTTTGCTATTTTTGTTGAGAAATTGTGCTTAAAGTTTATTGAGGGATCCTGAAATCTCGGTGTAGTGCACGCGTAAGAATTCTTTTCGAGAATATTCGTGATAGTATGCGAGTTGTCTCGCGTGTTATTGTTTCGCGTTGAGTATACTTTTTTTCTTACTGTTGTCATTCCGCATTATTTCGATCACGCTTGACGACGTGATTTTCGTGTTGTTGGGATCTTTCTGTGTCTCTGCCGTTAGTATTCGATTATATTATACGTTGTTCTTGTTCGGTACCGCTCTTTAGGCTGCAGAAAAAAAGTACATTGGTTGCCAAAAAGAGTACATTTTCCAAAAAAAAAAAAACTAATATCGGCGGGGGCTCCCCTAAACTTGATATTTACCAAATTTATAAATATTAAATAATAATTTTTTTAATTTTGCCTCATTTAAAAAAAAAAAAGTACAATAAGTGTGAAATGTAAGAGTACATTGTTTTCCGACCTCGAAAAGAGTACATGTACTCTTTAAAGAGTACGACTGGTAACCCTAGTCGCAGATTACTTGACGTGTATGCAAGCTCTATTTGACCGGCTATGTCGTCCGTGGAGCTTGCCTGAGTAATTAAATTATGCTCATCGTAATATACTACCGCGGTTGCAAATTGCGGTTCGGCGCGATAAATTCTATGATTTCGCCTTCTTGGAACGGATGGCTTTGCGTGTTGAAGTGAGCCACGACGCT